CACCGGTTGAGCAGAGGCGAGGCGTGCCTGTGGAATAGCCTGTGAGAGGGTACTGGGGTCGTAGATGGTGGTCTCTGAGGTGCCGCAGTGGGTTGAGTAGGTTGGAGACTTGGGGTAGCACGGCTGGCCGGATGTGCAGGTGGCACGAGTTGACCCCCAGCTGGTGGGGGAACAAGGACCGGCTGTTGATGCTGTAAAGGTGGCTGCTGTGGTCGTGGTACTTGGGCATTGGCGTGATGTACAGTCTGAGCTGGGGCTTGGACATGAGCCTGAGCCTGAGCTTGCGCTTGAGGTGCATTGGAAGGCTGTTGTCCTTGGGGTGGTGGATGCCAAGCAGCAGCCGGCTGCGCCTGTCCAGGTGCAGACTGCGCATTGGTTGCCGGTGGCTGTGGTTGCGTAGGGCGTCCCTGGAGCGGCGCCGCCGGTCCAGGGGGCTGGTATGGCTTCTCCCATTTGAGCGTGCTCGGGGTCCCAGGCTGGGGAACGGGCACAGGCACGGCCACTGCTGGTCCAGGCGTCTTTGGCTTTGCGGCATCTGGCCGTGGGGAGATGGCGGGCAAGGGCACTGGTGTTGTCGATTGCAGGCTGCGTGGCGGCGGCTGGCTGGCTCCCATCGGCGGTTGAAGGACCTGACTTGGGGGACCTGTTGGCTTGAAAGGCTGCTGAGCCTTGCCTTGGGGTGTCAGGGACGGTGTCTGCGCTTGTGGTACGGCTGTTGGCGGCGGCGGCGGCGGCGGGGAGGGTCCTGACGGAGGTGCTACATTGCGGGAAGGAATCTGATGTTGTTGTTGTTGTTGAGGTCCGGGCGATGGCTTCGCTTGGACAGGGACAGGTGACGGTGTTGGTAATGCTGGCTGGATCGCGACGGGGCCTGGTGATGGCGCGGTATGAGGCGTTGTTGCGGGAACGGGACTGGGCCCCTTGGGTGGTTGAGGCGGGCGTTGAAGATCGGGCGTTGGCGTCGGCGTCGGCGTCGGCGTTGGTGTTGGTGATGGCGCCGGCACGGACGTGGCATTTTGGGGCTGCGCAGCTGCTGGCAGGCGTTTCGCGTCAAGCCGGGCCTTTTCTGCCTCACGCTCGGCCTGCTCCAGAACATGAATCTCCCGCTGCAAAGGGACGGCTCTGCGCTCATCCTCCCTGATGGCCCTGACCGTCTGCTCCCGATACCTGGCGTAGAGCTTCTCTACCAGCACGGGGATCTTCCCAAAGTTGTCGATGACCTCCTTGAGCGACGGCAGAGGAGGGCTCTGGGCCTTTCGCTTCCTCGAGTTCGGCGACAGTGCAGGGTTGGCGTCGGGGTTCGGGTTCGGGTTGGCGTTCGCATTGGCAGCGGCGGCCTCACTCCTGAGCTCCTCCCGCACTAGGTGCAGGAAGAGCTGGCGCAGGGCATCAGGGCTGAGGCGTGCGGCGTCGTAGGACGCGTCATGCCGGATGAGAGCGTTCGCCTTGAGGAGATCCGAGACGCGGGCAAAGGCGGCGGCCTCGACGCCGTGGACAAGGAGGGCTTGGAACAGGAGCAGCGACTCGAGCGGGGTGTATGGTGCGGTATTCATGCCCCAGTCGGCGAGTCCGCCGCGCCGCTGCTGGGAGAGGAGGTGGATGGGCGCCACGATCTGTGGAGAGCGAAGCGAAGACAAGTCAGAAAGGTGTCATCATGGATGAGGAACGCGATGATGCAACGAGGTTTGGAACGGAGTGGTCGACAAGACGTACTGGCTGCCGTTATGCGCTATGGGAGAAGTATTGATGCATCTAACTGCGCGCCTTCCGGAATCGCGGAGGGGGGGGGTATTGATGGAGCGTTTCGGATGGGCGCGCAATTGATGGATGATGATTGACGAAGTGTTTTTTCGCGGTCGGCCTTTCGAGGTCACGTGAGACCGAGGAGATGAGAGATGGGATTTTCTGGCGGCGGCGATGGAGATGAATGTTGTTGCTGGTTGGTGGTTAGAGCTTGGAGCTGGAAGGCGGGTCGAAATTTGTTGCCAGGCTGAGGCTAGAGCCAAGGCAGGCAAGGCAGGCAAGGCAGCTCGTCCAGTGCACGAGGCGAGAGACGGAGCGTACGACGGGCGGAAAATCCTGCGAAGGGAGGTCAGCTTAGGTAAGGCAGCGCAACCTTGCATATGGCGGAGCCAGTAGCGAGTCATCAGCACCATTTCGTTTGATTACTAGAGGACACCAACTAAGATGGAAGCTGTGTAGATGCTCAGTATGGTGGTTGGCCTGCACCATTCATCTTTTTCACAATATCCTCGAACTACGCCGCCGCAACATCGGTGTTGTGGTTCTTCTGTGTTCATGCCGTTCACAGGCAGGCATCAGCAACAAATCACCTGAAGGGTACTGCTGATGTCATGACTCTCTTATCTGGTCGGTACATGGCACCTTGCTATGCCTAGCCACAGCCACGAAATGGATGTCTCGCGGGTGATGCCGTCATGCGAGTCCCGGTGGACGCGGCGGATCGAGTGTTTCTTGTGTCCCGTGGGAGAATCACACGAGAAGCAAAGTGTCTTCGAGGTGCTCAATAATCATGTGTCGCAGACACGAGGAAGGGATCATGGTTTCTGTGGCCCTCCGGTCCCTGGGAAATTGACCATTTGTGTACAGCGCCTTGTGAGTTCATGCAGCGCAAAGCCCGTCCCAGCAATGGCAGGCGAAGACAAAGCACGATCTACCTGATTCCCGGGCTTCGAGCGATCTGCATGAGCATTACCTCAATGCACCTATGAGACGGCCTACTGATCCGGCCCAGACAGTGCTGACAGTGCATGTCATGCTGTCCGGTCCCTCGGCAGGGTGCACCATGCCCCCCCGTGTTGCAGATGACAGCGAACCTTCGGGGGTGTGTCTTCCCCACCTTCGGGCAGCTGGGATGCACGGTGCGGGAAGCGATTCCAGGCACGCCCCGCGCATTAGGACGGGCAGCAGTGTCATGATTAGCGGCCAAACTAGCCGCCTTGGCTTGCTTGCCCCCGAAGCTGTAGGTCCCTTAGGTACCTACCTGGTACCAAAGGTAGGTCGGTTACCTAGCTGCATTGAGCCCCTATTCGGCACTCGACAAGCTCCTCCCAGAGCTTGATGAAGCTGTCTCCGGGGAACATGCCTTGGACACATGAGAGAGGAGAGATACAGGTACATCGTACAAGCATGGACCTGACGTTCATCTTCCCTTTCATCCTCATTCATGTACAAGGCCCCAGGTCATCCAGACGGCAGCCCCCTCCCCCCCCCCCTTGCCAAGGTAGCATGAATCTCCTCAGTGCATCTGTTGGCCCGTGACAGGGGCCCAGCTGATTGCTCTCCCCTCCCAAGTGACGGTTGAGGTGCTGATCATCCTGATCTCTTTTCCCCCTCTAAATCCCCCAATCCCAATCAACCAAACCCCCCCATTGGGCCCCCTTTATCGACCCGACCCGAGCCACGACAGCCACTAGAGTGCCCCCTACCTTTAAGGTACCACTCACCACCTCCACCACAATACATGTACACCCCGAAGCGCTGCAGAGACAGCTCCCCTAAAACCTTTTGACGTCTTCTTCTCTCCTCCCCTCCACCACACTGCGTCTACCCTATCTACCTACCTTGCCAACCTACCTTGCCAACCTACACCCGCGTCTCCTTGCTAATCCTCACCGCCGTGCCCTACGATTACGACCACCATCACCTAAGCCCGGCCTTACCTACATCAACACATCTACACTCCAGCCATGGCCCAGAACTTGACCGATGCTGAGCTGGACCGCGACTGGCAGCCCAATGGCCGTCGTCCTCAGTCGTGAGTGCGCTCCCTTGATGCTCCGCCGCCCCCATGGCTCTCTTTCTCCGCCACGAATCTTTGTGCTACCGGAGCACGCGAGCTGACCGACGCCTATAGCACCATCGCCCGCTCCTTCTCCCAGGAGCTGATGGATATTTTCCGTATCGAGAACAGCGTCGCCGACATGGACGAGAAGGTTGACCAGCGGTAAGACTGTCCCAAGGCACTCGTGAGCTCTGAGCTCTAGGCCCCGAGCTCTGGGCCCTCCTATAACGCCGTGGTCGTATTCGCTGCGACGAAACGATGACCACCGACCGCCCCCCAAGCTAAAACCTTCTCGCAGAAAGCAAAATGTCCAGTCCCAAGCCGCCGAGCTCGAGGCTCTCGAGCGCCGCATTCGCGAGATGGAAGAGCGCATGAAGCGCGGCTCCTCCTCTACCCACCAGCGGGCGCTCTCCCCATTCACCAACAACAACCCTCGACCTCGACACAACCTCCTCTTCTGCTGCCGCGAC